CCCTGCAGTGGAGAACTTTATTGTTTTTCTTTTACCCTATTCCCATTTTCCCATTATGATTTCAGGTTTTCTCTCACTTTGTAATCTGTTTGATCAATATCTTCTTTGTTCTTTACATTTAACTATTGTGTCCAAGATTGTAATTTTATTTACATTAGATTCAATAAATTAATTTGTTATGATACAATTGACGATAAGTGTAAATCCATTATATTTAGTGGCCTATTGACCAAATTACTTCTTTCAATTAATTAATCTTTTCATGTAAGGAGCAATAGCTTCTATAGTCACGATAGCTCAAGTGGTAGAGCAGCGGCGTATTTAGCCGAAGATCGTGGGTTCGAATCCCGCTCGTGGCACTGACTTTTTCATTTCAACCAAAACCTTACATAAAAAGATTAATTAATTGAGATAAGTATAAATTTTTAGAATGTTCAATGAATTATCGAAACTCAGAAAGTCTTCTTTGTATTGGCAGATTAACAATCATCTGACCCTGTTCCTCCACTAGTCAGAATGTGTGGTGTTTAGTGACCGTTAGTTAATGAGTTTTTGGAGATCGTGAGGTGTGGTCTGGTGTGATGTAGATTTCAGAAAAGCATTTTCTTTATCATGCCAACTTTTCGATCTTTATTGAGATCATCTTCAGGGCTCAAAGTGTTTGTTTTCTGTGTAGATGTGACATTCTTGTGTGTCGTGTCGACAGTGCGGCACACCCAACACGACACATTCCTGAAGGATGTGCGTCCATGACAGTTCCCCACCTCCACAAGGACAGTCTGCATTTTCGCTGATGTGCATGGGTTTCAAATTTGCCCTGTTTTTTCCGTGTCCCGAGGGTGCCATAGTTGTCTTGTACGTGTGGTCAAAGATGGTGACACCAGTTCAAAAGGTAGTTGAGGTGGGAAGTTGGTGTCCTGAAGTCATGATAGCTCAAGTGGTAGAGCAGCGGTGTGTTTAGCCGAAGGTCGTGGGTTCGAATCCCGCTCGTGACGCTAACTTTTTCAATTCAACCAATACCTTACATAAAGATTAATTAATTGAAAGAAGTTATTTTGTCAATCGGACCACGAAATACATTGGATTTAAAAATAATGTCTATATCTAGAAAAAATAAAAGTTGTGAGATTTTTTCGTGTGATCTACGGGTTTTAAGTTACCAAAAACTTGTAATTTTGGTCGTTATCATTTCGATCTGCCTATCCTCGCAGGACCTTTCGTCATATTCAGTGGTGAATCTACAAAAACACTGAAGATGACGAAACGCGTCTGAATAACGACCCAGGGAAAATAGGCAGGCCAAAATGATCGGCAACAGCCAAATTCAAAAAGTTTACTCGATACGACAGATAAAAGGCAAAATAATTTGAATAAAACTTAAAAAGATCTCGGAATGGATCATTTTTCAATCAGTTGAACTGGTCAATCATGGGCTATTTTTGAAATACCTCTTTGTATGTTGCTAAACGCTTTCATTTATGAGCGCATTATTGCTCACTTTACACCGTTCGACTTCCTTCATCCCACGAAGAAAAGGGAAAAGTTGTTGATAGAGGGGGGAGGGCGAAAAATTCAAAAGCGAGACACTAGGTTTGATTCAGACTGGGAGAAACAAAAGAATAGGGCCTTGGACATTGTGCTCTGTTTGGTGGTAATTTATATTACGAGGCCGGAACATGCCATTGTCGTCGACCCAAAGTGATAATTACAACCCCCTTCTTTTTCAAAATCCTACAATACCCTCCGACCACAACTTTATCGCCCCATTTAATTCCATTTTAAGTTATCCTTCTTAAACAGTGTCCCTTTTGTAAGTTATCAGCCTCTGGGTAATCTCCACTTTGAATTTAATGTCAGGAAGATGGTCTAATTTATTATACTTTTATTCTTCTTTCTTATTACACCTTTTTTACTTTCAGGCTTCCCCCATGTGTTTTTTTAAATAATAATAAAATAATTATTTTTAGCTTGATTTATATAACAAAACAAGCCAAGTCCGTTTATATTCGCTGTACGTCTTTGAAACCAGACACAATAAATAATTAAAACTTAAAGAAAAGGACAAACATCAGTGCAAGATCAAGTTGATGGAGAAATCAAAATCGTCTGAGCCCGTTATGGTTTCGTTTGGCTCTACCTTCTTTTAAGCCATTTAATTTATTTCAAATCAGTAGGATATCAGCTAAAAAAATTAATAAAACATAACATGAGATCTCAAGCTATATGCGAAAAACAAGGAAAGCTACATTTTGGTTATAAGAAATTAGCTATTTTACACGTTTTGAAAAGGATCAGTAGAATCCCAAAAGCAATACAATCACATTCCGAACAAGTGGTAAAAGCTAGGAAAGTTCACGAACTATACAGATGCTTAGGAATGCGCAGTATATAAAAAATGCCAGAAGGGAAATGCAAGAAGGGGTGCCAGCCTATCTATCTGGAAGCTAAAAATTAAAGCTATAAACCTGTAGATTATACCAGACTGTTGTATAGCTCCAGGATTCTAAAATGGTCATATTACTCACAAGATATGGGTTAGAACCAATTGACGAGGGCTCGGTTGCGATATCCTGTAACAGAGCCGAGCAATTGTGCTAAGAGGAGAATGAATTACGACGCAGTTTTCGTGCGAGTCGTTCTTTGCACTTTGACTGAATTGGATATGGGATTAACTGCATATCTCATCAATCCCAATGATCCACTGGATGCCAGGAGAGCATCAATGACTGGAAAACAAAAATCTATCGGTTCTACCTCTTCAATGATCCACATGTTGACAAACCACATTTGGTACAGATGCCCCTAGGGGACCTAGAAAGAAAGGATAGCAGGAGATTTTACTTGTCTCATCCCCTGACCCAGTGAGGCGGTGCAATGAGGGGTTCAGAGGTGCTCCACGGAACACATCCCATACATGTGCCAGAAAGGCAATTTTATGGCTTCCAGCTATAAAGCAATAAGAAGGCATCTCCGGTTCCGGTTGACCTGGCTGGAGCTAAGATACAAGTCGTTCACAAATCACAACTACTACTATTCTAATCCAGCTAAGAGCCGCTTGGAATTTCTATTCCCATTCTACCCCTGACTGTTTGTTTCTGTTGCCTGAAGGGCGTAGGTTCAGCCAGCACCAAGGAAACGTTGTTACGTTCGTAACATAGTATGCGTGTATTGTTATTGTTTGGCTAGGGATGCCTCCTGAATTGTAATGCCACCTAAACTGGCAGTGGGTTAAGACGGCCTAGGATAGGCTTATGAGAGAATAGAGGAGGGAATAAAACGGAGGACAGTGTGCGTCGAGACGGATATCCCTACGGCCTGGCCGGATCATAGAAAATCATCAATTCATTGATCAACGAAGGCGATCGCGGACCCACTCAACTTCAGAGAAGGTGCTCCACATTCCCAGAAGCGGGGATTTTCAATCGCCTGGAAAAGAAGCATATCTTGACACTGGTTCCCAGGAAAGTTTAGTTTTTAAAGAATGTTTATTTAGATTTTAAGATAATTTAGGTTCATTTAGTGTGTAAGTTTGTTAAAATATTACCCGTAGGGAATTAAGATTGATCTATGTTTAATATTTTAGGTTTCTTTGTAATAAATGTGTTTATTTTTGTTTCCTTATGTAAATATTATGGTTTTTTTTTTAATTTTAGTGTTATTGAATTTTCTTGGATTTATTTCCTTTTCTTTAGGGTTCGCTGTTTCCTTATATATAAACAGCGTGGCACCAATTTTTTTTTTTTTTTTTTTTTTTTTTTTTTTTTTTTTGTTTCCTTATGTAAATATTATTTTTTTTTTGTTAATTTTACTGTTATTGAATTTTCTTGGATTTATTTCCTTTATTTCTTTTTCTCTACGGTTCGCTGTTTCCTTATATATAAACAGCATGGCGCCCATTTTTTTTTTTTTTTTGTTAATTTAATATTAAGTTCATTATTCTTAATTCATTAAGTAAACCCGCGAAGCCGGCGAATTCTCGGCGTAAGATTTTGGAAATGAAAATTATTGAACCTATATGGTGCAATGAAAATTAAACTCTCTCAAACTTTTGTTCAATCATTGTGCAAACTTCATACTAAACTAAAAGCTACTAAAGCGCCTCATAGACGATCAATATTATTGCACAATATTTCGGGTTGTGCAATTTAATTGAACGTGTGTAGACGATATTGAAAGCTTATGCAATACATTGCATGATTGACGAAAAGTTGAAAATATATTGTACAACCTGGAAATATTGCACCATCTGTTGGCATTATTGCGCAATATCAGTCAGTTTGTGAAGTATCAACAGTGCACAAAATATTGCACAAACTTCAATATCGCCTTCATACTATTCAAGTTCATTGCACAAACAAAATTTTGTACAATACAATATTATTGAACGTTAAGGGGCAACCGTCAAATTATTGTGCAATCTATATTGTACAATAATATTGACCGTCTATGGGCCGCTTAAAACTGTGCAATTCATAATATTGTGCAATATAATTGATTGTTCAGAGCCTGCCTAAAGGAAATCATTTCTTTTTGTTTATTTGTAATTTTTTTTGTCAATAAACATCTTTATTATTATTACTTCCTCACCAACTTGAATTTTATATTTTAAAATTTTCTCTCTGTCCATGTCCTACACAAGGTTTTTCTTTTTTTAACATTAATGTTAAATATGTTATTTGTCTTGTCTTGTTATTAATGTCAATATGTTTGGACTTGCTTTCATTGTGAAATGTCTGAGATCTTTAAAGACTAGAACATAGAACCATTGAAACATCAAATTGAAAGTCTGACGTGAAGTTTCATTATCACATTTTCCATGGTTCCCAAAATGTATGAACACCCAGTTTTATTTACTATTTTAAAGTCTAGTAATAAACAAATATGTGTCACATAACATATTTATTTGCGTTCATTGGTGACAATTAATCTTTAAGGAAAATTTTCAACATTTTATAATGTCCAGCAAAACTAGCTAAAAATTTAATAAATAATAAAGGAAATTAAATCATATATACAATTTTATTTGCTTAAATTATTAAAATGATTTTTTTAAAAATACTGCAGAAGTCAGCAATAGAAGTGCAGTATAACACATGTAAAAAAACTATCCAATTATTCTGCAGTGAGCATATCTGGACTGAGCATCAAGCGTACAGAAGAATCCAATGTGCTGATCCCAGCCTTTAAGTCCGCTTCTGTATGAAGTCTATTTACGACTACTTTAATCGCTGGTGGTTGATATGTATCATTTGGAAGGTAAGACGGTATTGCAAACGCTACTCCAAGTGTAAGGCACTGCAATAAAAATTACAAATATAAATCTTAAATTTTCATAATACGAGTCATATTTTTAGAACTTACATTCTGGACAATTTCATCTAACTTTTCTTTGTTTTTTTTGTCTTTCAGCTCCAATATTTTAACGGGGCTCAAACTGGAGCCATTAATTTTAAAATGTTTCTTTATGTTTTCACAATCGTGCAAAAGTTCATTGCACAGTTTACATTTTTCTTGAAGGCTGGTCACTAAGTGTGGTTTTTCTTTTAGGATTTGTAGTGCTTCAATAGCAGCGGTAGTCAATAATGGTGGTAGGGATGCAGAAAAACAATAGCCTAAAAGTATATGTTAATAATTACCATTGTCATTATCGCAAAATCATTCAATAAGAGGATATTTTAAAATAAATTTATTGACTGAATAGCCCAAGATAAAATAACATTCTTTCCCTTACTTATTATACACTTGATGATAAAATGTATTACGAGATATTCTTGTTCTTTCATATATTTTACTGTATTTAAGTTATTTTTCTAAAGAAAATGTAATTTAATAGTGTTATTTTTGTCATATATATTACCTAAGCCTGAAAGACGCTGGTGTTCCACAATAAATGAAGTACCAACACAGAATCCACCAACAGACCCCAATGAATTTTCTAGGCTGCCAATAATCAAATCTATTTCTGAAGCCTGTAAAAGAAAAAATGAGAAATAATATAATTTTTACCAAAAAGGAATGTTTAATAAGAATTCAGTATAATAGTAGTAAAATACAAGTACTTAAAGAACTATGAAAATTAATACCGCCTTGCAATTGATTTAAAAAAATGTTTTATTATAAAATCTGACAAATAATATAAAATTGTTGGAATGTTTTCCAAAATTGTTTTTCAAGAAATAATCTATGACACAAAAGAAACTGAAATATCACAAAAAAATGTAATAGAAGGTAAGAAGGAAAATTTTAAAAAAGAAAATCATGAGCGTAACTTAAGACTTCAGTTAAATTTAATTTCATTTCAACCAAGACCTTACATAAAGAGAATAATTAATTAAAATTAGTGATTTGGTCAATCAGACCACTAGACATAATGGAGTTAAATTTAATGTGACAGATCTTGAAATCTTGGGTTTTAATAAATTTCATCTACTGTTTTATTTATTTATTTATTTTTTTTTTTTGAATACCAGGAATTAGAGGAGTTCCCACTGAGCATTCTAACTTTACAGCTTATTGTACTCCTTCCTGGGAGACCATAACAACATGTGTAAAGTGAGTCCCCAGTGTACTGGTGTTTCTACCATTTTCCATTTTTAAAGGGTGTTGGGATCAAATTCAGGGTCTCTGAGACCTGATTTTGCTGGACCTTCCATTGATGAGTACCATGTTAACTTTCATTGGAGTCACCACTCTCCTTATGCATTAGAAAAATTCTGAGGCAAAGGTGGGCATCAAACCCATGACTGGAGCATCTACTAGCCGAGAGTCTGAAGCCTTAATCACTTGGCTACAGCGGACTGGCCACGAGTATTGCTTATAATTTAATTTAATTACAATTTAGCCCTCGAGCTGATGTACTTCAATGTAGTTTGAGCTTCTTCTCGCATCTAGCTTGTTCGCAGTCCTAGTTTGAAGTGCTGGAAGTCTCTTTGGTGCCTAAAATACGCCAGTGCACTTGGTCATTTGAGTGCAATTTACTATTTTATTATATGACTAATTCTTTATAGATAACCATGTAACAAACATATACTTCTATTTTCATTACAATTATTACACTATTGTGCCCTATTTATTATTTATTTATTGTTTGCAGTTTGCTTACGTACATATATAATATATATATATTTTTTTTGGTACAAGAACAAATTCGTTCAAGAGCAAGATTATGAAAAATACTTCGTGAACTTTCTGATTAAAGGGAAAGTTACAAAAAGTTGTTACACCAAAAAAATACATAAAGCTGTTTTAGTACTTTCATCAACAAACAACGCAGGATTGGTAAACAATGCATGATTCTTGACTACAATATCACCAAACAAGGAGTCGATATCACAGATCAAATGGAATCAAGATATTCCGGACCAAGAGTCTCACAAAGATGGCTGTTTTTTTTAACTTTTTTTTTAATATGAATGTCCAAAAATAGCATCCTTACTAAAGGCATTAAAATATTCTTGTCTAAATCAAAAAGCCGATAAACAATATAGAGAAACAAAATGCTGCATTAATCAAAGGAGATGAGGAAATATAACATGCTTTCTTCCGATCTGCCATAATTACTGCTTAACTTATAGTTCATGAAGTTTTTCTGTCTCTGACTCATGAATTGGGTCAAATGTCCTGAATATGTGTACTATCCAGTTGATTAATTTTGAGATGTTTACTGGCATTAAATTTCTTTATTTTCTAGTATCTGTATTTTGTAGTATGTATTTAGTTCTAGTTCTATTATTCTAACATTAATAGTAAAATTATTAGTGTAAAATTTCTACTATTCCCTACTGGAAAATGGCAGGATTGTAATCTGGGTCATAATATATATCCCAGTTGAAGGAATAGAGACTGGGAGTTTACGGTTAACTGGCGTTCCTAAGAAATGTCCCTTGAATGATCTCTTTCCGGTATCGTGTCTAATGGCCACTGGATCCTCTCATAAAGGGAGTATCGCTTCCCTGTCTCAACTCCTAAGTTCAGTGTGCTGTGGGGTCCCTCATTCTTCAAATAAAATAAAATAATAAGGAGTCAAGAAAGATCTAAGTTTTCCATAGTTTATTCGGAGATCGTGAGATACAGTCTAGTGAGACGTAGGTTTTAGAAAAACATCTTTATCGTGCCAACGTTTCGATCTTTATTGAGATCATCTTCAGGGCCAGGGATTTATAAACATTGTTTAAATTTTACAAATACATGTAGGATGTGAAAAAATGAATTTATACAATGCTAGAAATTTTAGATTAAAAAAAATGAATTTATACAATGCTAGTAAATTTTAGATTAAAAAAAATGAATTTATGCAATGCTAGAAAATTTTAGATAAAAAAATAATAATTTATACAAGGCTAGNTTTTTTGAATCTAAAATTTTCTAGCATTATATAAATTCTTTTTTTTTAATCTCAAATTTTCTAGCATTATATAAATTCTTTTTTTTATCTAAAATTTTCTAGCATTATATAAATTCTTTTTTTTAATCTAAAATTTTCTAGCATTGTATAAATTCTTTTTATTATCTAAAATTTTCTAACATTGTATAAATTCATTTTTTTTAATCTAACATTTCTAGCATTGTATAAATTCATTTTTTCACATCCTACATGTATTTGTAAAATTTAAACAATGTTTATAAAACCCAGGCCCTGAAGATGATCTCAATACAGATCAAAATGTTGGCATAAAAAGAAAATGTTTTTCTAAAACCTACATCACACCAGACCGCTTCTCACGATCTCCGAATAATCACTGACTAATAGTCACTAAACACCACACACTTTTTCATAGTGTGGCTTTTCTTCTAGACAACAGTACCTGGTGGCCCGGCCTGGTAGTTGGTAGTCCTAGACATTAAAGTTTTAACATTTTAAAGTTTAGACCTTTCGTGCAAGTTCAATTTTTGTTCCTAAGATTTCCTTCTCGAATTTGTCCATAAAACACAGTCTGTCAGGCCTAAAGATTCTGGAATAAGAACTCTCATTGTGGCAAAATTTGACTTATCCAGTTTTCCCATTGGGTGAAGAATTGATAATAAAATGAAGAATGTATTGTTTGAAGAATTGATAATAAAATGAAGAATGTATTGTTAAGTGGTCTGACACCTCATCCAGGAATAAATCTTACTTTTACCTTTATTATTTATTTATTATCATGGATATGTTTTTGGGCTGCTACACAACGTTTTGCTTGATGGTTAGGATGTTTTAGGTTATGGTTGTGACATGTTATGTCAGGGAGTGTAGAAAATATGTTATTGCAAACAAAACTAATAATACCTTAATTCCAAAATGTTCCCGTAATCCTCTTCCTGTGCTACCAATTGTACCAATTGAAATACTTTCATCAAGAAATAATCTTAATTTATATTTCTTCCGTAATTCCACCAACTTGTCTAATGGGCACATAAATCCAGTTTTCTGGTAGATACCTTCAACGACTAAGAACTTCCTTGCCCGTGACGGTTTCTTCTTCTAAAAAGAAAAAAAGCAGGTTAAAAATAAAAAAAAATATAAAAAAATTATTTGCTTACCTTCTGCGTTTTTTCCTCTTCTTGTTTAAGAAGCCTTTCTAAATCCTCCATATCATTATGTTTAAAGTAGTGGATTGTACTTCGGGATGCATCAAGCCCTTTTTGAATAGGGTAGTTGGCACATTCATCCCTTCAAAGAAAAAATGAATATATGAATATATTAACAAAATGCAATTACTAATTGAGAATATGGTCCCATTAACCCTAATAACTGCCATTAAAATATTTTAAGTGTTAAAAAGTTGTAAAACCATTTTATGACATGCAATAAATAATGCTTCATTTAAAAGTGTTCTTTTTTTTATATAACTAGTATTATTTTCTTAAACAATACAAATATGTCAAATTTGAATTTTAAATTTTCGATAAAGTCAGATTTAAAAGTTTTGAAAGCTGATCCTATGTAAATAAAATTAGTACACATACACAAAGATTATATCGTTCTTTTTTGAGTAGGCAGGAATGGCACTAGCGATGGTAGAAAACCCATATGAATATACAACTACCTCTTCTGAATCTAAAAACTTGGCTAACTTTTCTTCTAATTCAAGATGAACATCTAAAATACCACATAATAACATTAATGAAAAATACAATATACAAAAATTGGGTATTTGTCAATGTACCAACTGTTCCATAAAAGCCTCTTGGACCACAAGAGCCTACACCGTACTTTTCTATCGATTGAATTGTTTCCTTTTCGATATGTTTATCTTTAGCGAATCCGAGAAAATTTTGAGTAGCCATATTTAAACAAATCTGGTTATCTATTGTGATATATTTTCCTTCCTGCAATGTTAGAACTGGACGATTAAGTAGTCTGTGTTTTGTATCAATGTCTTCGACTAGTAGCCTCGGAGTGTATTTTTCAATTATTTCTTCTTCCTCCTAAAAATAAATTTTTATAAAAATGCCACTGACTTCCTTCTATATAGTGTCACTACACATGTAAATATTAATAATAATGAAAAATGATCTGTGAAAAGTGTTGCCATGTATTATAAGCATTAAAATAAATTAAATGACAATTTTGTAAAGTAAGTACCTTAGACGGCCATGATTCATCAATAGGTGTCGATTTTTTGAACATAATCCATAATACCATCACAAGCAAAATTAATTCAAAATATATAGAAAGGTGGGGAACCTAGAAAAAACAATATATTGCTATTTGATATTACACATTATGTGTGGTGATTAGTGACCGTTAATCGATAATTATTCAGAAATCGTGAGATTCACATCACACCAGACTGCATCTCACAATTTCTGAATAATTACACATTACCTCAATTCATTGAAAAAAAATGAATGTAGATTAAGAAAAACTAAAAGAAATTTTTAGTTTCATCTATCTAGAGATATGCTTTAACAGGTAGTAGTAGTGTTTTATTTGTCTTCGAGGAGATCCCCATACAAAAGAAATACAAATGTTACATAAACAATAATATACCATAATACAATAAAATGTTCCCATAAAAAAAGAAATATAAAAATAATAAATAAAATAGTGTTAATAGAATATTTAGATTCAGTCATGGAGGTGTGAAGGGAAACAAAATCAGACGAGGCAACTAAAGCCGGGGAAGTCCCAACCTCCAGAATTAACCATTGTGATCTTGTGCCCTGACACTAAAAATGCAATAAAAACATGATTAAAACAAAGTGGCAGTGTCGGAGGACCGGCATTGTAGAGAAGCTCTCATGTATCAAGGACACTGTTAATACGTAGCCCTCGGAGGACCACCCATAGAAGAAGGATCATTCACATTAAGAAAAAGACACTTACTTTTGGGCCAAAGTCAATGTATGTGTCCGGCCTGCAGAAAAAGGTTGCTCGACATATCCCACCTAATTGAGGGATGCATTTCCTTGCTCCATAAAGAGAGTGTAGGAATGCCACCTGATATGAGCATAATAGTGAGTATCTGAGTCCACTGTTCCAATGTTTGGAAGAAACAGGGTTGCTTTATTGTATACATTAATGATAGTTTTGTGTCCCTAGTGTGTGCTGAGAGTGAATTTATAATTGTGAATTGAATTTTTGAATTTAATTTGAATTTATGATTATGTGTATTATGAATTTATTAGTGTGGATGTATAGAGCGAGAAGGCTGATTGCAGAATATTGAATACCCCATCTACCCTCAGCTTAGGTCAGTTATATAATAGGTGTAAAGGGTGATGGAGTAATATCAATTACTGAGTGAATGGTATGTAAATAAAAATAATTTATTTAAGAGTGAGTTCTGTGTGCATGAGTTTGGATTTCGAGATTGATTGCGTTGGGAGTTGAAAAGACCTAACTGTTGACAGCTCCCAGCCCTCACCCCCGTGGCTGGACAGACAAGACTGACCTCAGACTGCCAACACCAAGGGTTGGTGATTGTAGAAGCCCCTGCTGGTTATGGATTGTAAATTACAAAACCTAGAATTTCTGGTGGACTAGATATAGGCTCAACTCTGTCATGTGTGTGCAGATGCAGAATTGAGCTTATCAAAATCAGTAATCAGAATATTTAGACATGGTAAAGGCAAATGGGAATAAAACGACAATGAGAAATAAATAAGTGAACGAGAAGTAAAATATTCAATGAGCATAATTATTCATAAGTTTAGGTTTAGTCAATGTTATACTTAATGTACATTATCAAAATACAGCAAATCAAACAAAGCATTTTGGATATTATTTTATTGTTTATAAAAAGACTTTTTAACGAGGGTAAACCGATGCGGCCACTGACGCACAATACTTTTAGGCAGTTAATAATAAAATAAAAGACGAAGTTTTTTAATATTTTGTGTATCGTCTGTAGAAAAAACATGCAAGAACTCATCAAGGGTAGTATTGTTCATCAAAGGTACCTACGTTTTTTTGTAGAACTACATAAACAGAACTATTGCACAATAATCTAATAATCTAAGAGCATAGACAGTGCATATTTTGTTGGGCTTCATTATGTATATTAAGTTTTTATAGCAAATTTTAATTTGATATTTACTGGATAATCTTAATAAAAAAAATTAAGTATAGCAAAAAGTAAATTATTATTGTAGCAGTATTTGGAGGTCAGAATTAATACGTGGAAAGTGACTATATTTGTTTATTTGTTTTAACTTGCAGTCTTCTGCCCTTATATATTTTCATTAAAAAAATATTATTGGGATTTTACTAATTACTGATTACTATTTTATATAAGCTCAAATCAAATAATATCCAAAATGCTTCATTTGATTTGCTGTAATTTGATAATGTACATTAAGTATAACAATTAATTAAGGTTTTTAGTTGAGATGAAAAAAGTTAATGGCACGAGAGGGATTCGAACCCACGACCTTCGGCTAGATACGCCGCTGTTCTACCACTTGAACTATCGTGACCTTGATCCACTCGGACATCAACTCCCCATCTCAACCCCACCTTATGAGTTTTCCCTCCTTTTGACAATTGAAATGGCGACGGAGAGCTTTAGTGAAGTGTACTTCATTTTTAAATCATTAATTCACTAATTTCGTGGTCCGCTTGACCAATTAATACATGACAATTAATTAAGGTGAGTTCTTGAAAAATGGCAAAAGGAGGGTAAACTCATAAGGTGGGGTTGAGATGGGGAGTTGATGTCCGAGTGGATGGAGGTCGCGATAGCTCAGGTGGTAGAGCAGTGGCGTATCTAGCCGAAGGTCGTGGGTTCGAATCCCTCTCGTGCCATTAACTTTTTTTCATGTCAACTAAAAAACCTTAATTAATTGTCATGTATTAATTGGTCAAGCGGACCACGAAAGTAGTGAATTAAGTATAACATTGACTAAACCTAAATTTATGAATAATTATGCTCATTGAATATTATTTTACTTCTCTTTTACTTATTTCTTTCTCATTGTCATTTTATTCCCATCTTGCCTTTATCATCTCTAAATATTCTGATTACTGATTTTTATAAGCTCAAATCAGCACACACATGACAGAGTTGAGCTTATCACTTCTCACAGTCCATCGGCAATTCCAGTTTTTGTAATTTACAATAATTTGCTGTCAGGCCTCAAGAATCACCCACCCTGGGGGTGTTGGCAATCGGGGATCTGTCCTTGATCTTATCCATTTAGTCAGCAAGCAACAGCTAGATCATTTCAGCCCCCAATGCAATCAGTTCGCAAATCCATTCATACTCTCACTCACTCTTAAATCCATTCTTACTTATTTACATACAATTAACACAATTAGAGGGGGTGGAATACTCGATATTACTCCACACCCTTCACACATGCTATTATTACTAACCTAATTGAGGTTCAATGGGGTACTCAACATTCTGCCATCAGCATTCTCACACTACAAATTCACACTCAACACAAAGCTCCATATATGGAGCCAAGAAATAGCACCCTTCGACTAGGTGGGGCACATCAAGCAACCTTCCTCTGCATGCTGGACAGATACGTGGGCTTAAGCCAAAATTCCTAGTGGTGCAGTAAGGAAAATCTTACACCTCATAACTAAAGAACCATTTAAACTGGGCCTAACAATCAAGTTCAATGATGAATGACTCACCAGTCACTGGAGTGCTATAGGAGGAGAATGAGGGATACAATGGCCCTCAAAGGCTGCAGTAAGGCAAATCTTACATCATGCCTTTGACAAACCACTAAAACCGGGCCTAATAATCAAATTCATTGATGAATGGCTCACCAGTCACTAGTGAGCTATAGGTGCAGAACAGAGGATCCAATAGCTATCTAAGTGCCCGTATAGCAAATCTTACATCGGAAGAACACCTAAAACCGGGTCTAACAATTAAATCCCTTAATGCATGACTCACCAGTCACTACTGAGCTATAGGTGCAGAACAGAGGATTGAATAGCTCTCAAAGGATGCAGAACGGCAATTCTTACATCCGAAAGACCAGTACAACCGGGGATAATAGTCAATTTCCTTGTTGAATTACTCACCAGTCACTGGAGTGCTATAGGTAGAGAATGGGGGATACAATGGCCCTCAAAGGCTGCAGTAAGGCAAATCTTAAATCATGCCTCTGACAAACCACTAAAACCGGGCCTAATAATCAAATTCATTGATGAATGGCTCACCAGTCACTAGTGAGTTATAGGTGCAGAACAGAGGATCGAATAGCTCTCAAAGGATGCAGAACGGCAATTCTTACATCCAAAAGACCAGTAAAGCTGGGCATAATACTTAATTTCCTTGATGAATGACTCATCAGTGACCTGAGTGCTATAGGTACAGAATGATTAATAGCTCTCAAAGGGCGCAAATTTACATCTGAAGAACCTAGACTTCTAGGTTGATGAGGAAAATGGCAAGGTAAAGGGCTTCAAAGTGAAAGTGCAATGATGGATTTTGTTTATACTTGTATTTTTTGTTTTCTCAAGGTCGGAAAATAATATGAAATGAACTTTACTTACATAGTAGAAGATGGTTTCGTACAGGTAAGAGTTTTCACGGGTTCTTTCCTGAAATTCGAAGTCCATTTTGACAGTGCTAGATGTAACAATGTGCTGTAGATAGTTCGACCAGAAAAGGCCACAGGAAAAATGTAAAAAGCGGACGCTTTATTCACTGTAGATCCACGAAGGACATCGCAAATCAAAATCTCTTCGAAGTTATAAGTTGATCTGATTTCCTTTCAGAACAGTCGCCACATCGCGAAACAGACCGCTATCTATAAACAACACAAAACAGTCTATTGTCAATAAAAAGCCGGAATTTTCGTAATAAAAGGCTTACAGGATGATTCAGATAATAGATAAAAAACCGCTTTTCCGGCAGATAACATTAATATAAACTTATAATCAATCAAAAGGTACTCGATTGTTACCTTCCATGGAAACATGTGCCCGTTGTGCATGTGCAAAACTATTTCCACGCGCCCCCGCTTCTTCTTTCTTATTAAAGGGAAAATCAATTTTTTTTCACGTGAGTATCTTTCGTTTTAACAACAAATTTAAATATGTAAAACGTGCGCATGCAAAACTCTTTGCCTCTGAGGCGGGAAATTCGAAAAATACGATTGCACTTACAGTCAGTGAAACAAGTCTGGGTTATGCTTATATTCAAAAATGACTTTGCATGTTTTGCATGTTTCTTTGCCTCAAAGTCTACATTTACAGCTGAAGCAAGTCTTGGCCTAATTTTGGCTCTACAGTAAATAATCAATAAGGGCAAAAAAAGTGTGTACTCTACTTTCAATCAGAAACAACATTCATAAGAGCAATTATAATCTTCTAAGCTGTTTTTAGTATTAAATAAATTTAAAAAAAAAGTACTTTGGAAAAAGAAATTAATTTTCATAAGGTAGTATAACACACACCTAACAGTTCTTATAAGGATTGATTACAGAACCTTCTGTTGGAGGTAATAGCCGACTGGAATATATGTACATAATAAAATTTAAGTAAAGAAAATTAAAAACTATTCAAATTCCCCAATAGTACCTAGTTCAACTTGAACAAAGGGTACAAAAACCAGAATATAACTGCCATGACAGATAGCAAAGCAGCCATCAAATCACTATGTGCAAACATCATTAGCTCAAAGATGGTGCTGAATTACAAATCTAAACTAAATAGATTATATATGCAAAACAAAGTCACCCTTTGGGGATCTCAAGACATGTGGGAGTAAAGGGCAACGAGGGAACAGAAGCCCTTGCAAGGAAAGGGGCTGCTATGCTGATTGGTCTTCAGCCTGTTGCATAGGGATTCACACTATCAATGAGTATCTTAGGCAAAAAGCCAAATTTGTAAATGAGTAAACTGTGGAATTCACTCATTGGACACAACAATCCAAGTACATTCTAAAAATTTTTGTAATAATAGAAATAACAGAACGCATCAAAGGAAGCATGAAAACTTCAAATCCTGACAGAATTTTTGACAAGGCACTGCAGACTGAATGGGCATCTGAAGAAGATTGGTGTAATACAACAAGGTGCTGATTCTGCAAAGAAGCAGACACTCCCACTAACAGACTGAGACATCACATTTGCGGAGGATGTGTTTTGGGATGTACAATATAACAGTAGAAGAAATTCAACTACAGAAACTGGGCCTACAATTATATTTCTTTATATGTGTCCTGTAAGTACAGAATGGGGATGCAATTGCTCTCTCAAAGAGTGCAGTATATTGCACACCCCAAACATTACATTTACATCTACACCTTCCCAGTAGTTTAAAAATTAAACTGCTCCATGAGCTCTCTGCAGTACTCCAATGATGTCTTTGTCAAACCGACCGGGTCTGAACAATCAGGGGAATTAAGTTACACGATCAAAACTTTAGCAAAGTCCCAAAAAGAGAACGTAAAACTCTGAAATAATGGAACCCTCAGTCAAAAAATCAAATAGGCCCTCTCTCTTACAAGTGAGTTACACAATAATACAACAGAATCATCTCTCAGAGGAGAATAATCACACAATTTTGAAGAACTGGCATAAATTATTTGGGAACAACTTTAGATTGTAATTGATTAATTACATATAAAAAAGGTAGTGGATTTTCTCCTGAATCTGCACGGTGATCAACCTATAGTTTGATAGTTACCTTTAGTTAAACTATAGGTTCACCACCCTGCATACCACAGGAAAATCTCACAATTTAGCCTAGTTAGCAAAGCTAAGTTTTTGTAATAAAACATGGGGTATAAATCTAAAAATAACCTACTGGCTGTGTAGAACAATAATTAGACCTCTGGATGGCCAAAAACTTTGGAAAAAAGGCACAAAATTAATTAACAAATTATAAGGACTGTTACTGTGTATTTGCCTAATTTCAGCAATGTAAGTGATACTGGGATTGCCACTGTTGCACACATATGTCCAGAGGATAGAATCCAAAATTGCAAACAGTCTCTTAATACAAAATAAAATAAATCCTAAGAGAAAACCAACATAAAATTCTAAAAAGGAAACAAATAAATGAGATAAAAATAGTTGCAGCATTGACCCAAAAAACTAAACTCTTATATTGAATGCTAATGGGGTACAGCCAGATATTTGTTAATAGTTGTAAGAGGATGACACTTTGGACTGTCTTATTATGTTCACATAACTTTTATAATTAAGGTGACCCTAACGTAGCAGGACATCATGGGACAATTCAGACCAAAACCAATTATGACATTATTTTAATTTAATTTAATTAATTAATTAATTTTTTAAACTTTTCTATTAGTTTTAATTTTGTTTGAATAACTTTCGGGCCAAATTAATGAGTAATGATTCATATATGTATTTAGTAGTCATAATTGACCGTTTTAATTATTTTAATTAATCATACTTTTAATCTAAGGTCTTGGTTGAGATGAAAAGTATAATTATCAAAATTAAAGAGTAATGATTATTTGGAGATTGTGAGATACGGTCTGGTGTGACGTAGGTTTTAGAAAAACATTTTCTTTATCGTGCCAACATTTTGATCTTTATTGAGATCATCTTCAGAGCTCAAAGTGTTTGTTTTCCGTGTAGATTCGTGTGTCGTGTTGAGAGTGCCTGGCACTGCACTGTTCTCGGTGGACTCTTTGGTGCCTGCTATCACTATACAGATAGAAATGCGACTCAGTAAACATAACAGCATTCCAACTGGAGTACTCTTCTATGCATTCGCTGCACCACACTATATATCATGAGTTGCTGGTGGCAGCTGTTGCTGCAGGTCGTCTCAAAGGGACATACAATGTGAAGCCAACTTCCCACAAATGATTATGAACCATTTGTGATGATAAAAGCCTTGCCAAAACATCTTGTACTTCATTTAGGATCTGGCGGGCACTATGGAAAAGTTCCGTCTTGCAGCAGTGACAATATTTCTGTCCTCCCTCAGCATCATAATGCACTGATATCCACTATCATGCCTCCTATTGGCACTTTCAGTCTCGTGGAATCAGGCTAAAGCCCAGGAGACCACGCTCTGAGAAACACCAACTGCCTCTGCGATATCCACTTGCCGGTGACCTCGATGACTCATTCTCACAAAATATTGTGAACCTTTGGTTTTTCCATAGTTAAAGAGAATACAACTGGTTTAGAATGGAGAAAATATGAAAAAAGGCTTTTGTTTAGAAAATGAGTAATTTTCATGTTTACTATTTTTAAATAAATCCATTATTAAAAATGAGAATTAACTTCTTTTTTTAAAATCCAATTAGCAAGAATATATCAGTTAATTTAAATAAAATAAATATGATAAGAATAAATTACAAATATTCCTATTCATTTTTAAGTGGTTTAGTTCTGCTTTAGATGGATCACAGAACTCTTGAATGATAATGCATATATTACATTGTAGTGGAGAGTGAAACATTACAATGACCAATGAATATTATATCAAATGATTAATGCAACTTTTTAATGGTATTATTTAAATTAATAGACATTTTGGTATATATTGTTTTCTAATCTTGAAATTTATGCAACATTTGTTAGCTCGATAGATTTTTAAAGTGTCTACTTAAAAGCAGGGAGAACAATGCAATTCCATCAGCTAAAAATTAGTGTTAATATTGTTAGAGGTAACTGTCCTCAAGAAAACTAGAAACTTTGTTTTTTATTGTAAAATTGAAACTCTTGAACCCTCGTCGTTTCCCCCCCCAGTCCGTTCAATTTTCTGACTTTTCCATCCTGTGAAAAATTATTTAGACAATTGAAAGGTGCTTATGATTCGGGAAAAAAATTACTTTGAAAGGATTTTCTACTAAAAGTAGAAAAAAAAATTTATGCCATTCCCATCAATTGATTATATCAGAAAAAACATGTATTCCCAAGAGATAAATAATGAGTTTTCTTTACTATCAAGTAATTTGGTGGAAATAAATAGGTTTTAATAAAATAAAACTAATGCACTATCTTAGGCTCAAAATCAAGGCCAATGAGGTAATTTCTTGGGAGGCCTACAAATGGGCGGTACATTCCTTCAAGAAATACAAGGCAGCCGGGGTGGATGGAATATTCCCTGCCCTCCTTCAACAGGATACACCTAGTCTATCTAGTACAGTGTGGGATCTCCTAAGGAGTAGTCTGGCATTGGGACATATACCAAAATGTTGGAAGGAAATAAGGGTAATTTTCTTACCCAAACCAGGTAAGGCCTCATATCAATTTCCTAAACCTTATAGACCTATAAGTATATCTTCTATTTTCATAAAAATAATAGAGAAAATTTTAGATAGATATATTAGACATGATTGTGGAATTAATACAATGATACATCCCAATCAGTAGTCCTATTTACCAGGAAAACCAGTGAAAACTGCTTTCTGCACTGATAGGCAGGATTGAGAAATCATTATTTAATAATGAATATACACTAGGCTGCTTCTTCGATATCCAAGGGGCGTTTGATAATGCTGATACTTCTTGCATTATATCAGCACTAGATAATTACAATGCCGACCATCACCTTACTAGATGGGTGAAGACCTACTTGGAGGAAAGGATGGTCAATATGTGCTTAGGTATTAGTACTCTTAGAATTAATGTCAAAGGCGGCTGTACATAGGGAGGCTGCTTGTCACCTCTTTGATGGTTAATTACACTAAACAGTTTAATAGAAGTTCTGAATAATTCAGGTTTCATTTTCACTTTCCATTGAAACTGTCTTCTTGGCAGAGTGCTCATCCCTAGGTGAGATTCGGTTATTACATCTCTGCATCTCGGATGTTTCACACTCCCCAGAGTTGGCCCGTTACGGTTTGGCTCATATTCGTTGGCCTTAATGCTAGGCATTCATGAAATTACAGGTATGAGTTAATTAAGGAGTTTAATTTTTGATTTGTATCATATAACTTGTTTTTATTTTTCTTTCTCATTTGTTATTTCTCTTTTGTTACCATTTATTTCCTCGCCTATTATTACTATCTTATATTATATGTTTTTTTTACTTCCTGATTGTTTAACTAAAGACCTCTGGCAGATAGATTCAAGATCCATGTCCATAAATGCTTTGAAAGGACATTTGTCATTTTTCTTAAGTTCAATAAAGCATTATTATTATTATTATTATTATCTCACGCTCAACGAACAATGTTTATCTTTGGCTGAAGGCTTGTAGGAAAATCAGTTGTAAAAAAAAATAATAGACATGTAAAAATACAAAGTTATAAAATTATTTGTTCAAAATGTTTAGAGGGGTGTGTTTATATACATATATATATTATTATTATTTTGGGCGGGGGTGTTTCTTTTTCTATAAATTCAATTGTTTCTCATAACACAAATGTCGGAACTTCTAATTTGTAATTAGTGAGGGATAAATTTGCTTTCCTCGTTGGTATTTGTTTTAAGGATTGTTATTTATTTCTGTATAGTTTCTTCTTTACAGATTTCTTCCGCCGTCTTCAGAGATACCTGAGCGAACACCTAGGGGGGCTAGTTCTCCTTTCGCGCTCCCCCACCACGGTACGGACTTTCGTGAATAAGAACGGGCGCCTACCTAATTTGATAGTGTCTCAGTGAAAGAACCCAAGGTGTACGGTGAGTAGCTCTCCTATTCAATCAAGTTTCGACCGTCCTGAACAAGACGTTCTCCTCACGTTGTTTCTGGGATTCTTACAATTCTAAGGCTCGAATCCATATCTCAAAAAAAAATTCATCTTCTTTACAAATACAAATACAAAAAAAATCATGACATTCTTTTCCAAAAAGTATACCGGTATGCAACAGATAAGCATGGGTAACAATCAAAAAACGAACCAAAAAGAAGTTTAATTAGAACGAAAATTTTTTGACAGGCAAAAGAGTGTTTCTTGAGCCAAATATTTACTAACAGGATAAGGATTATTAACGTTAAAATATCTAAACAAAAAGCCCTCGTTTCCAAACATAAACTACCTAAAATTAAGATATAATCGAAAATTTTTTCAAAAATCCTCCATCCTTGAAAAAATAAAATAATTAAAACGATTCTATCTTTGATAAATGAAGTCGTAGTAGACCCATACAATTGGGGTTGGTTGCAATCTGAAAATTGATCCAACTTGCCAAAAAAAATTCTCACTTATATTATTTTATTATTATTAATATATTATTTTTAATGGTCTGATTGACTAAATTACTTCTTTCAATTAATTATTCTTTTTATGTAAGGTCTTAGTTGAAATGAAAAAGTTAGCGTCACGAGCGGGATTCGAACCCACGACCTTCGGCTTTTATATATAGCTTTTTAACTTCAAATAACCCTTTTTAACTTTCAAATACCCTTTTCTTTAATATTAAAAATTTTAGAAGATGGTTTGAAATAAACATGTAAAGCAAAATTTCTGTATATTTGAGAATCTTTTTTTTTAAATCTGAAATAATTGGGTATTAGAAGACCTCATGAAAATTAGCTACAATTATAAGTAAAAATCATGAAATGAAATATAAATATAAAGGATTATAATTTGAATTTGAGAAATGTGAGACATTGTGGTTTTTACTGCACGATTTATGCTATAATACATTAATTAATAGTAGAGTTAAAAGTAATATAAAATTAAATATAAAAACAAAAAATTATTCATCTATTAATTCGAAATTTTTTTAGCAAAAAATAGTTATTTATAGTCCAATTTTTTTACGTCATATTGACCCTTTTTAACTTCAAATTTGCCTCTTGTAATATCAAATTAACCTTTTTTTTTTTTTTTTACTTTTCAAGTATGTAACTCTTTCTTTAAAGCATGAAAAAACTTACACGGTATGAAATATAAGCATGTAAATTAAAATTCCTGTATTTTTGAGATTTTTTTAAAATATAAAATAATTGGGCGTGTACAAAACTATATGATAATTAATTTCAATTTCAATTAAAAATTATATAAAACAAAATATAAAAATAAATTATTTGTCTTTTAATTTGAAAAATACGAGAAATTGCAGTTTTTAAGAGTCCAATTCATTGATATTAAAAAGATCAAGTTAAAAAAAATTATATATAATATTATATATTTTATGTAAAATTTTACTTAATTTTCATTTGGCCTTGTAAGAGCTTAATTATTAATTTTTTTTAAACTTTTCTAGCATTTTACTTTACATGTTTAAGGGTTAATTTAAAAGTAAAAAAGGTTAATTGAAAGTTAAAAAAGATAAATTTATTATTATAAGAGGTTAATTGAAATGAAAAAAAGGATTAATTTGCAATTAAAAAGGGCTAATTTAAAGTTGAAAAGGATTAGTTTGAACTTAAAAGTTAAGTAAGCTAACTTGAAATTAAAAACAGTTAACTTGAAGTTAAAAAAAGTTAATTTCAAATAAAAAAATCATTTGAAGTTAAAAAGATTAATTTGATGCGAAAAAAGACTAATTTGAAATTAAAAGTGTTAATTTGTCGGGGAAAAGTTGTACAAAAGAATATATTCTGAATATATATATATGTCACGTACATTGTTGTTTTTATATTCCGTCAAAGTAAAGATCGGCGATACGAACATGTGCTTTGGTGACAGCAGTAACAATTTTACTTATTTTCAAGCTCCCCAGTGAGTCCCTGAAGAAAACGTATTAAGTGTGAGACAATAAACGTGGAAACTAGGAAAGAAGTACTAAAGCGTAGTGGCTGACTGGAAGGTAGAAAAGACACTGGAAATCTGGGAGATATGGGGCTTTCACACAATCTTAAGGTTCTTACGGTGGGACAGAAGGAAATAGGGGTGATTATTCATTGTAAACGTTAGGAATACGATGTAAGGAATGAAGGAGGGAACTGGACCCAAAGACACATCTTGGGACTTTATTACGTCTAAGTTAAGCTCATTTTCAGATACCCAGGCACTAACCGAGCCTAAGTGTTTAATACATAACATTGCAGCGTGAAAGTGAGGAGGTGAGAAGGAAAGATTTTTAATTTTCATATGTATAAAGGTGATTAAGAAAGGGAAGTTGCTTGACCCTTTAGGAAATCGAGAAGTGATAGATTTTGGAGAGGATGATGGCTCTTTTGGAACGGAAAGAATGTAACCAGCGGAGGACACTCTTGAGAGAAAGGTTTTAATTTTAATAATTAGGAGGGACTGTATCGAAGTCTTTAAAAAATGGATAAGAACAAGAATGGTTATTTGACATTGATCAATAGCAGTTTGTATGTCGGTGGAATGTTTTTAGAACAGCGGATTTTGTGAAAAAATCGACGGATGCCAGATTCAACGGGAGCAAGGAATTTTCAGTTTTCTAAGTAGGTAGACATTTGTAAATCGACTAATTTTTCAATTAGCAAGAGAGGGTGGATATTGGACGGGTGACATTTTTGGATGTGGGATTAGGAATTTTAAGGGTTTGAGTTAGGTTAGGTTAGCTTTAAGATTTGGGTTAGGTAGGGCACATTCATATCTAATTATGACTTATGATATTAATTGCTCGAAGTTGTAATAAAACCTATCATTATAATAAAATAATGCACCTAACAAATTCAAGGAGGTCCGTTTTGACGTTTAAGTTACTGCCTGCATCCCAGAGAATACAATTTTTAGTACCCGCTACTAATCTACTAAAATATTAATTTATCTCGAACCTTGTAAATCATCAGAAAAGACGATTCAATAAATCCTAAAGAATCTGTAAACGGGCCAAAACTATCAGAAAATTTGTGTAGTGATGTGACTATGTGAAAATTTGAACGTAGTAAAAAAAATTTTAATCGAAAATACTCACTTATAAGCTTGACAGGAGTTGTTTAATTTATGCCGTCTTGTTTTAACCGTTTGGTGGCTGAAATGAAAATTCAACTTAGTCGACCAGATTCCCCTCCTTGAGTCTTTGTATTGCTATACAATACGACCCAGGAACTAGAGAGGGCAACCCTCTTATTTCTGACTCAATTGACACAAAGTAATCTTTGTCTGGTAAAAATAAAGGTCACGGATATAAACACATTTCGAGATAAGAAAAGGCGACTCGATGTTTGTTATAAATATTGCAAAATTTGCTATCGCTTCCACCTAGATAATACGCCTACGTGACACTTAAAATAAATCAATCTTATTTTTATCAATGCCATGATTCATTGTATATATTCATAAAACCAACAGAAAACATGTTGATTATAATGTTCTTGGACATTTTGTAATTAAATAATTATATGCACTTAAAATTCAATAAATTTTTCGACTGGATATCAAATTCGGTAACATTTTTAACAAGTTCTTTTTAACTTCAAATTTACATTTTAACTTCAAATTAACCCTGTTTTTGCACCAAATTAACATTTTAATTTCAAATGAACCTATTTTTATTTTAAATTAACCTTTAATTACTTCGAATTGATCCTTTTTAATGTCAAATTTATCTTGTTTTTGCACCAAATTAGCCCTTTTTAATTTCCAATTACCCCTTTTTAAATTCAAATTAACTTTTTTAATTACAAATGGAACCTTTTAATTTTCAAAATAATCCTTTCTTTAAAACATTAAAAACTGTTTATTTCAAAATTATTTTAATTTTATAAGTTTGAGAAATTGTGGTTTTTAAGGGCCCAATTATTTTTTAGCTTTTCCAGTCAAATTAACCATTTTTTTGCGCCAAATTAACACTTTTTTAATATCAAATGAACCATTTTTACTCCAAATTAACCTTTTTTTAATTTCAAATTTACCCTTTTTTTAAAGCATTAAATAAAGTAAAATTCCCGTATATGTATTTGCGAATTTTTTGTTTTTAATATAAAATAAATGGACTCTTAGAAGACCATAAGAAATCTAATTGCAATTAAAATTCAAAATGATATACAATTACATATACAAATAAAAGTCTTCTTTTAATCTGAGATTTATTTTTGAAATATAAAATAGGTTCTTATCTAAACTACCCCATGCAATTTTATTTTAATTAAGATTAAAATTAAATTAAAATTAAATACAACTGGTTCTTCAATTAATTCAAGTTTATTTTAAATATAAAATAATTGATCTATAAAGCAAGAGTTATATTTTAAAAAAAGTTCGAATTAATAGAAAAATCGTTTGTTTTTATATTTAATTTTATACAACTGTTAAATTTATTTGTAATTAATGTTCATGTGGTATTAAGTACATATAAGAACCAATTTCATAGTTTTTTAATCTCAAATTAAATTAAAAATTCTTATATGATTATTCATAATTAAAAATAATTCATAATTTTAGTTTTAATTGGCATTAATTTTCTTTTAATTTTTTATAGGCACGAATTTTATATTTTAAAAAAATCCAATTAAATTAAAAGTTCTTTATTTTTATATTTAACTTTTCATAATTTTAGATTTACAAATTCTTTATTTTTGTATTTCTTTTTATAAAATTTTAATTGTAATTAAATTGCATATGGTATTTTATGCAAAAACCAATTTTATATTTTAAATAATTCTCAAATTAAAAGAACGCTTTATTTTTATAAAAAACTATATTATCATGAATTGATAATATTTTTATTTCTCTTCATTAGGTTTTTAAATTTTTGTTATATTAATATTTTTTATTTCCATGGATGTGCCTCATTAAACTGGACACTTTTTAATTTACAACGACTGAAATGACACCCCGAAATCCATTCATGTAAACTATTAATAAATAACTTTATTTTTATATTTAATTGTATATAATTCTTATTTTTAATTGTAATTATTTTCCTATGAACTTTTAAGAGGATACTTATTTTATATTTAAACAAAAGTTGTAAATATACAGGAATTTTACTTGGCATGTCTATATCCGATACTATATCCTAAGTTAACGCTTTAAAGAAACTGTTAATTTGAAGTAAAAAGGTCATATTGAATTAAAAAATGTTAATTTGAAGTTAAAAAGGGTTAATTTGAATGAAAACAGCTATGTCCATGGTGTCAACTATCCACCTTCCTATGGTATTCTCAAAAAATACTCAACCCAGAAAAAATTTACTCTACTTTCAAACGCTACAATAAATACTGTGGTTTTCTAGGTTTATATAGTTTATAGCGTGCATAGATTTTTCTAGGTGAGTAGAAAAACGTTAACATTGGAGAAGTTTTTTTCGCAGAATATAGTAATATTTTTCTGAACCGATTTTCAAATGGTTTTCGCCATTTCTCATAAAATCGACTGAGCAGAGTATCATTTATGAACAAACCTTACTGTAAAGAATGTAATGTGAAGTAAGGACATAAAGGGTTTCTCTTTTTCATTTTCGCGTTTTGAGACTGCGCTTTAAATATTTATCAGGATTATCTTTAATCACGCATCATTTTGCACAGCAAGCGTTTATGAACGGTCAGCTCAAAATTGCCTAGTTTTCAACAGTTATCAGTGCAATCGAGTCAAATTCGACGTGGCCTCTTGAGTGTTCAAATTACTGTGTTTTAGTTCCATGATTTGTACCAAATTGATGTCGAGTGGCAGCAGGAAACTATTACGATCGCCTCGTTCAGCTGGCCAAGGGTAAGCAAGTTTACTTTGTACTAACAATAAGTTCCATTTTACATTTCAGTAGCTGAACTTTATAGAACCTTTATGGAAAACGAAGTTAACATGAATCAGTATCCAAAATGTCAACGGTGCGATTCGCGCCCAATACTAGATTTAACTAATTTATTAATAGTTATATTGTAAATCCAAATGTCTCATTTTCATTATTTTTTAACGTTGGCAAATCAAATAATTTTTTTTAAATTTCTATTGATTGATGAGCTATAACAGACTAACCAGAATGATCGGAAACGACCAAACTATTATATTTATATTTTTACTACTGTTTAGTCCGAGGTTAGTTATAACGCAACTTGAAGTACAGTGATGATGACGATGTTTAATTGTATCCTGCGGACAATTTTGAAGGGTATAAGAAAAGGTCTTTACGAGATTTATACCAGGGTCATAATGTTCTTTACGAATTTGAGGCCATTTATGAAAAGAAAATCCTACCTTGTCATAAAAGGATTTCAAATTCATTCTGTTTGCCTGTTTTTTTTTCGGGGGCGAAGAAAAATTCGAATGAAGGGAAAAACCCGAAAAAATATTTTGACGCATATTATTGTGATTCAGTTTTAAACCGAGTCCAAGGTTACAACTCGAAAGACAGTAGAATTTACAGAATCTTTAGGATTTGTTATGACGTCCTGTTTCTGTTTATCCTCTGTTTGGTTTGTTTTTCAAGCGTCTAGATATTATTGTTTTAGTAGATTAGTGGAGGATTATGAAAATTATGTATTCGTTGTAAGAATGATAGTCACGTAGTCTAAATGGGCCTCCTTCAATCATTTGGAATAATTTCGAATTTCACTGGAATTAAAGGTTTGTTATTTCGTTATAATCTGATTCTAAACAGTAAAATGGTTCGATTTATATATTGTCATACTTTGAGCAATTAATCGAGAAAAAATATTTGAAAATAGAAACCAGTTGTTTTTTGTAACAACTCAGTCCTCATATTTTATTGGTGACTCATCGTAAATTGGACACGCAACTTCGTCCAAAACAATGGCCGGTCATGCCGCGGTCAGATTGTTATCGCTTGTATTATAGAATTATTCAAATTTAAAACGATCACCGGAAATAGGAAAAACTGCTTTTCAGGAACTTTTCTATTGGCAAGCAGTTAGTATTAGCTGGGTTTTTTATACACTAACAGGCAAAAAATTCCACCCAATTGTTTTTTTTTCATTTTTTCCATAAAAGAAAATTCTGCCCTTAATTTGTCTCATTGTTTTTGAATCAATAAATATTTGTTTGTGCTATGTTTTAAATTGGGAATATCAATTAGAAGTAAACACACTTAATCCTTCATCCAAAACAAGGATAAAAAAAATTTAAATGTTTACTTTTTACGGAATTTCAAATGTTTATTCAGTCTGATTTGAATTCTGAAGCAATAAATTGTATAGTTTTCATCATTGTTTTCTTAATTTCAATTTTTAAACTTAAAAATGCCACTTAGTGCTGAGGATGTTGCGCGTGCTGTGGCACTTATTGATGATGGACGTTCCATCAGGTGTGCGGCTACTGCCATCGGAGTTCCATACGAAACACTGCGAGACGCCGTTAGACGTTTTCGAGAAACTGGGTCCTACCACAGAAGGCCCGGTTCTGGACGCCCTAGGGTAACAGAACCACAGGACGACCGTTTTTTTACTTTGAGAATTTTGCGAAACCGGCACCTTGCCGTTGTTCAAGCGATTCATCAGTTCCAGGAAGTTCGAGGTGTTCGAATTTCTGAACGCATTGCTCGAAGAAGATTAAACAAGTACGGACCGATGGCTTTTCGCCCCGTAAGAGGACCGGAATTGGCCGAACACACGGAGTTGCACGGCTCGCATTTGCTCGAGAACACAGCCATTGGACTTTGTACGATTGGTCTGCTGTACTTTTTACAGATGAGTGTAGATTTGCTCTACGATCTCCAGATGGATGTGAAATTTTGTAAAAATGGCTTGTAATTTTTCCCAGAGCCAACCTTTTAAACGTAGCTCAGTGATGGTGTGGGCGGGAATTTCGATGGAGAGTCGCACAGAGTTGGTTGTTGTTCGTGGAGTGTCTTTGACGGCCACTCGGTATGTGGATGATATTTTAGAACATCATCCGTTTTCCCAACATCATCTCGATTCCCCAAAGGCTTAAGCAACTTCCCTTTTTTGCTGTTACATTAACGACTCTAAATACATAAAATACTATTACACTCACATTTATGCAGATGACTTGTAAATATTTCCTTCTCACCTCCTGACTTGGAAGCTGCAATATTAAGTATCCAACACTTAAATTCAATTAGCTTTTAGTCCACTAAAAATTGACTTAACTTGAATGTTGTAAGGTCACTGGCTATTGTCTTTGGATCCAGTTCCCTTCTTCATTCCTTACCTCCTATCCTTTGTACAGATGTCTCCTAAATCATTCCTT